ACCATAAAATCAACCATAGAAAATAGACTTATCAGAAGTCTTGTGTTCATACAACAACTATACTATGGTATGCACTCACCTTAGCCTCACTTAGTCCGATCGACTCCTATAAACTTTATCCCTCTTTTGATTGTTCCTAACTCTTCGATCGTTCCGAAACTTGTTTACGTTCGATATCTACACAAATATACATTTGATACGAATATTAGAATTCTAATCCTTATGAATTGATCATCAATAACCTAAGTTAAAAGAAGTATCTAATTTACATTTTCACTTTGAGTAGTATTGGTACCCAAGGTATGGTACCGATACTTCCTTCACTGTGGTATCGATACTATTCCTTGGTATCGATACCCTATCCCGGTTCTGGAATTCTATTTCAAAAATGGTATCGATACTCACATAACGGTATCGGTACCCTTGGTATCGATACTGCCCTTTAGGTATCGATACTCCTTGAATGACTTAGCCACTTTTGGCTTATGGTATCAATACTTATTCATATAGTATCGATACCCTATCCTGGTTCTAGAATTCCATTTCAAAAATGGTATTGGTACCCTTGTTACCGATACTGCCCTTTAGGTATCGATACTCCTTGAATGACTTATCCACTTTTGGCTTATGGTATCAATACTTATTCATATAGTATCGATACCCTCTCCCCAAATATAACCCTTTTCTCTTTGAAGTATCGGTACTGGATGAACAATATCGATACCCCTTGCCCAGAAATCACTCATTTAACCCGAAAATTTACCCATACCAACTTAAACTTTCCATTTTTAACTCCTTTCGTGCCATTAAACTTAGCTACACTTACTCAATTCATCTTATATCCATATAACACATCATTATCTTCAAAATCTCATCTTATATCTTGAAACCAAGAATCCTACTAATTTTCCAACATGCTCTAATTTTATTTCTAACACTACGTGCTTCTTAATCTAACTGATGACAAGTCAAATTTAATCTTAATCTACACTTAGAAACCTCTTATCTTTAATCCCCATAACTTATCATTCTTTTAGTTTCTACATCCCTTTAAGTTTCCAAAGTCTTTCCTTATGCTCCATCAATCAAAACCATTCCTTAATTGTAAGAAAACCAGTTGAAAAATCAAACTCACCTTAACTAGAGAGCTCACATTGAGAGGAGGAAGAAGAATGAAGATATTTCTATAAAGCTTTTCTTTTTCCCCCTTTTCCTATCTCCATGTGGTTATATCAACCTGTTGGGTTATGGGGTCCAGCGATCACCCTTAGGGATTCTATCGTGTATGGGCGCGATATCGGTACGTGACTGCCCAACCTGCCGAGGCCCATGTGTGCCTTGCGAAGCCCCTAGGCCTGCCCCCAACACGCTATAGATGCGGGGCTCTGCAATGCCGTGGTGAACTGTGGGGGTGCCCCCACAAGAATCCACATTGGCTTGGGGAACCCAGTGATCACCTACTACAAAGATATGAGATTAAAATGTCCCACCTATTTATCACCAATTGGTTTTAAGAAGGAATGGTGACCATTCGCTTCAGAACTTTTTGGTTAAGCGTGCTTGGACTAGGGAAATCCAAGGATGGGTGACCCACTAGAAAGTTGTTCAGAAATGAATGACTCGATCCTAACACAACCACCATAAGGGATTTTTAATTATTTACTTGTTAAATGACCATTTTTCCCTTCCATTCCTCCTTCTTTGCTATTCAGTCCTACATAAAATATCTCACTTAAATCCCTGAACTTTTCAATTAATCTAAATTCTAAAATTTCACAATTTGGTAACTAACCCGTTGTTTAGGATGTTACACGCCACTCGACTAAGGATTGGAAAAATTCAGGTTTTATTTAGGAAAAAGTTTACAGCCGCCATCAACATTTAGGTTAAGTAGGTTAAATACCTAAAAGAGCATTTTAAAATAATTTTAAGAAAAATCATTTAAAAAGACAAAATTGGCATGTGTCTAACCAGAAATTCATTTTTTAAGGATTCGAGAGTTGGTTACATGTGGGGATGGGTGAGCTACCCCACAGCGCCCAAAATTGGTACTCTTCGATTATATGTAATCTAAAATAGCAAAATTTTACAAATTTAAATTCAAAATTTGAATTAAGATCCTTTTATTTATACGAATTTAGAAAAATGAGTGAATCTTTTTTAAATGTTTAACTCGATAAAAATGGCTTCACTCAATTTTATTTGAAATGGATGTCCTCTTACTATGTGAATTAACGAAAATTGAAACACATTCATGTTGGGTGCAATTTCATTAACCCATGATACAAGACAACATTGTCCTTTATTATTTTGGAAAACTAGTAAACGAATGCATAATTTATGAATGCAACATTAATAAATGTTCTGTATGAAATGCATGAGATATCAAATGCAGCAAACAAAGTGAAAAAGATACCAAAATATTTATATTTATTAGAATCTAAAATTTGGTGGAATATCTTTTCAATCCTACATTTTAAGGAAAGGCAACCCATGATTTTGGATGTTTTCCCATAGATCGCTCTTCGTTCAAGATGGAACCACAAAAATAAAATATACTTTATTTTTATTAAAATAATTTTATTAAATGAAAAACTAGATATACATATATAAACAAAAGATGATTTTTATTCAAGACAAAAAATATATTTAAGTTTTATAGTTTTTTTCAAAAAAAAAATTACAAAAGTAGGCAAATAATAAATAATGATATTATTATTTTTACTTGAATAACCTTTGGAAGGGACCCCCAGGTTTTAGAGGTCTTCCATAGGTTAATCGAACAATCAAACAACCTTATAAATTCTAAATATTAAAAAACACATTTATTGTATTAGAATAGTACCTTTAATAAAATATATGTAAATATAATATTATCTATATTTGATATTAACCATTTACAACTATATATTAAAAATACCATTTAAAATTTATATATATATATATATATATGTGTGTGTAAATAAAATACATTGACTAAAATAACATAATTAGAAAAGTGCATGGACTAAAACATTATTAACCATTCAAAATAAGGATTAAATCATAACATAGCAAAAGAACAAGGACCAAGCGTTCTAATACACCAAAATATCATAGCTAACAAATCAAAACAATATCACTAACAGGTAGGGCTATAATGCGAACGTAAAGAAATTAAAGGAGCTCAAAACGAAATAACCCACGATTTATTAAGTGACTAAAACATAAAGTTTATAAATATAAGGACCTAAAACCTATTTTCCCTAACTCAAAATATATGGCCCTATGTTCTCAAAACAGTGTCGTTTGGCACCTGGTATTTAACCCTAAATCAATTCCTAAAATGGCTACAACTTCATATTTGTCTCATTTTTATTTTTTTGCTAAAAACATATATAAAAAAAAGGCTCTCCCCATCCTCTCTTTTCCGTCATGAGATTGAAGTAAACCTAGCTCTGGCCTCCGTAAATCGATGGCCCTGACACCGAAACCCGACCAAATCTTACATTCAACCACCCTAAAAACCAAAAAAAAATGAGCTTGGAAACCTAAATACCCAAAAGCTCCCGAAACCCAAAAGATTTCAAAGAGAAAACCTCCATTTTTTGCAACCCTTACCGCTCTCAACCTAGATCTACAACGGGTAAGGGTTTACCTTTGAAAAAGGGTGTGTTTCTTGCTCCGATGAGATGGATTCCACACTCCCAAGGGTAAGAAACTTTTCATTTTTCCTCTTTCTTTCTTTCGTTTTCCCCTCTCTTTTTTTCTGCTGATTGTTGATGATTTGTAAAAAAATATCCCTTTTTTTTCTTCCTTTCCTTCGGTTTTTATATTCCTTCTCCCAAAATCCCCCTTTTTCTGATTTCCTTAGTTGTTTTTGTCTTGCATGCGAGCGTTGGGAGGGAAGGAAACATTCCCTATCATTTGATTTGATTGCATGGCTTATCTAATGGCCCCAAGGTATTCCCGACAACTTCTGAGATTTGCATGAGGGGAGGCATTTGTTACTGTTACTGTTGTGGCAGAGGGGACATGGCAGAGGAGGTTACATTGTTATAATCATAAGCGCCGCTCAGAGAGGATGAAAAATATCTGTGGGGGCCAGATTGGAGTGTTGTTTCTGTAGATGTCACTATCGACGCATTGAAGAGCTCGAGATTCTAAACGTACATAACACGCATCGCCATATCAATGGCCAGCATTCTCAGGTGCATGTGGATCGTTAGATTGGTATCTAATGTGGGATTAGGGAAAACCCTAATAAGATCTTCATCTGGGCCATTGGATCTGTATAAAACCCTAATTTCATATTTGATGCAATCTAGCTCCTTGATACTTCATCTGATCCAATGGTTCACAATTGACAATGTGGGACCAATATGAGGCTCTAGGGTTTCTTCTCCTTGCAGGCTTTTCACTAATCGGCCCTTCCTTGTAATATTTGGACTAATAAATTTCATTGGGCCCTTGTTTTGGTTCTCTGTGACTTTGATTTTATCTGGGCGTTTGACCTGTTTGGTGGCTTGTTGGGTCAAGCTAGCACACCCGTCAAGCTCCTCTTAGACTATTGGATTTAGACTGATTTAACTTGAAATAAAAATAAAATGAAAGAATAATAACTAGACTGAAATAAATTAAGAATAATATTTAAAATTGTATATTATATATATAATAGTATTTATTTTCAAAAGCTAAATAGGTTTCAAAGCATAATATATAATATTCTAATACTTAATTTCAAAGCTACAATGTAATATACTTATTTTAAAAATTATATATATATAGTATATTATTTTTAAAACTATATAATATATATATACTATTTTAAAAACTATATCTAATATACTATTTAATAAAATATATACCACTATATATTGTAACACTATATAAAATAATATACATATATTTGATATATTATATATAACTATATCGCTACATACTATACTATATAATATAAAGAAAACTAAAATATCTCAGAACGAAAACGAGTATCTACATATAAATAATTAAAATAAATTACCTACTTTTCTTTTCTTTTTTTTAATGAATGCTTATTTTGGAATTCTTTAGAAAAAAAAATGATATTACTTTTGTTTCAGTTAGTTAGGGAGAGAAATAGTCGTCCCAAATTTAAGACAATGTCATTAAGACAATAAAGCAGAACCCCATCACTAAACATTTCAGTCTTAGAAGGGTTCATTTGGAGACCCGAGATTTCTTGAAACAACTTCAAAACGGCACACACTCACTTCACCAATTCAACCTTACCATTAACAAAAACCAGTAAGTCACCTGCAAAACAAAGGAGAATGAGTTGCACTTTCCTGCATTTCGGATGGTAAGCCACAACTCCACATCGGGCAACCCAATTCAGCAAACCAGACAACACATTCATCCCAAGGATGAAGAGATAAGGCGAAAGGGGGTCCCTTACCGCATGCCTTTAGCACCACAAACTACCCAACCAGACCATTCAGTGCAATAAAAAACTTCGAATGACAGACACAAGCTTCAATCTAACCCCTAAACCTTTTAGGAAAACCAGTTACCTCTAAGACCTGCATAAGAAAATCCCAGTCAAACGAATCAAACACTTTCTTAAGATCAAAATTCTATTAATTTCATATTTATAAATTTATTAAAAAATTGAAAACTTTTATTCATCTTTTATATAGTTTTTAATCACTTTTAAAGTTTTATATTATTTTAAATATTATATAAATTTATCAAAATTTCTAAAATTTATCCAATCACAGATGTGCACATATTTTGCAATAATAGAACTTTTTTGTTACAATAAAGTTTAGGTGAGGGGTGGTTTTTCCAATCTAGGTAAGGATATATCTAAAACTTAATTGAGATTTAGATAGAAATTTACAGGTTGTCTATCAAGAATGACGATAATAAGATTTGAAATTAGTCTTATAAACTCAAATTCATGAATCCCGACTACTTGTATTAACAGTCGTTGGTTAATAGAAAAATGTTAACATATTCATATATTGTTCTTTTTTCTAAACTAAAGAAGGTAAAGTTATTGCTCCAAGTCCATACGAGCGTAGGTAAAATGAGACATTGATGTCCCTATCTAAGATATGAAGAGGTTGCGGTGCGTACGACGAAAAAGTAATAGTCTATCCATCTGAAGAAGGGTCCATCTTAGCCATGAAGTTCCTGCAGCGTTTGTTTCTAGATAGATTTTCTAGAATTCAATGAACTAGGCTTTGCTTTGGCACAAAGATCCGTAATGACTCTCACCAAGGTGAAGGGACTGATTTCAAATGGAGGAGATAAACAATCCTTGCGTCGTCATCATTTACTCATTGTTTATAATTATATTTTTAGAAAATAATTTACGTAAAATCAATTACTTGAAGATTATTTTACATAAAATGAATTATTTAAAATTATTTTACATAAAATGAATTACATTTTTTGAGAAGCAGTTTTCGAAAACTATTTTACGGTATTTTGATGATATTGTATAAACCATTTTCACTAATTGTTTGATACACTATATTTTAATTTTCTAGAAAATGATTTACATAAAATGAATAAAGTTCGGATCAGTTAATATTTTCAAAAAAAATATTCGATTAACGATTAAAATAGTTTGATTTATTCTATTAATGGTAATTTACTTCGACATGGGGTTGAATTAACTTATTTGAAAATTTTAAATTTAATTATTATTATTTTATTAACATAATACTAAATTATTATATTAATATTACATATATAAATTAATATTACTCACTAGTAATAATTTATGATATATTACTAAATTAAAAATATAATATCATATATTATTATAATATATATGAGTACATATTAATATAATATTAAAAATATAATATTACTAAAATAATATTATATGTATATTAAATATTTTAATATTAAATATTTTTATTAAAATGATATTAAAATATTAATTCAATATCAAATAAATAATGTCATAACCATTTTTTTATAAAACTATTTATGTTTATTTTAAAAAAACAATTATGACTTTAATAAAAAAAATTGGTGATTTGAAATTAATTTGAATTAAATTGAATAGAGTCGCCATCGACCTTTGGGTTAGGTAGGCCGAATACCTAAAAACGTCTTTTAAAACAATTTTAAGAAAGATCATTTTTAAGACAAAAATAGTCTGCGTTTACCAAAGATTCAATTAAAATGGATTCGGGAGTCGGTTACGTGTGGGGAAGGATAAACACCCCCACAACGCCCAAAATTGGTACTGTGTCGCTTACACATCGTCGTAAATGGTGGAAATTACAATTTGAATATGAAGTAAAAAATATGATCTATTTATTGAATATTTGTTAAAATAAAATAATAGAAATACTTCACTTGGTAAGAAATCTCAAGATTTGCAATCCTCCAACGGGAAAGCTATCTCATCTATTTCTTATCTATAAAGTATATCCTATCTTTTAATTACCACTAAATAATATCGTCATGAGTAGAAAATACAATATGCTTAATTTATGTATCATTAATAGTAACATAACAACCATTAATACAATAAAAATTATGAAAATAGAATAATAAATAAATTATGATTTATTTATTGAAAATAAAAAATCCTTTTCTCGATAAGAAATCTCGAGATTTGCAATCCTCCGCCGGGAAAGCTACCTCGTCTATTTCTTACTTGTAAAGAATATTTTCTCTTTAAATTAAAAGATAATGACGAAAATTAACATAAAATACATCATATTATACTTTTCCAAAACATACATCACTCATATTAAGATTCAATGAAGAAATAATAATAAAGATTAAAATTTAAATATTAAACAATATGACCATCAAATAAATTAATCAAAAAAAATAAAAACAATGAAAATAATTTCTATAAGCTTGTAAAAGGAAGAATTTGCATTTTTATTATTCTGTTTGAACGTCGTATCGGATTGTACCACTTCGATCAAGTGATACTTTCCACGCCCGTTCTATAAATATGTTTTCTTGAAAATAAAATCAAATATAATGAAAATAAAATGCAATTGGAAATATAAACATTTACATTAAATTGAATTAAATACATTACTTACATAATACAAATAACCATAGAATATGTAAAAATACATTCATACATAAATAACTAAAATAAAACTAAGTTAACATTACAAACCAAAATACAAACCAAATAAGCACATATGATAATTTCAGGGACCAAAATACAAATACAGAAATTTAAAGGGCTACAATCGAAGAAACAAGAGTTAAATAACTAAACTGAAAATACACAAAGACATGAAGGATAAAAGAAATATTTAAACCAAATGCCAAAACAGTGACTAAAACAGAAGATGCATAAATCTGAGGGCCAAATTCGAACTTTAATAAAAATGTAATAATAAACAGATAAGGACTAAAATATAATGAACGTAAAATAAATAGACATTAATCGAAATTTAACCCAAAATATGATAATAGTGATCAAAATAAAAGTTTCATAAATAAAAGGTATAATGTCTAAACTTTCAGAAATATTAACAATAACCAGTCCAGTGACCAAAATGAAGAAAAACATAAATTACATGTCCAAATCCGGAGATCATAAAACCTACATAATATATAGACTAGTGATGTAAACAAAACAAAATAAAACTATAGGCTCGAAATAAGATTGCATGGATTTCCTTTAGTGACCAGATTACACCCTTACAGAAACTTGGGGGGACCTAAACTGTTGTTTACCCACAAATGCTACGGACACGCGTGCAAGATTACAGAGATAAGGGGACCAAATAAGCTATTAGCCCTTAATCCCATCACTCGGCCTCCCCTGTCTCAGAACGACGTCGTTTGACGTCTGAGATATACCCTTTAAGGGTTATTATCAAACCCTAAAATCATTTTATAACTCCCCCTCATCAGCCGTTTCACTCTTTCTTCTCTCCCTTCTCATATCTTCATCTTCCTTCGCCCAAAAACAGAGGCCCTAACTCCCCGGCCACCGTAGAACGGTGGCCACGGGGAGTAACCCAAACCCAGAGAAGACTCTCTACCCTTAGATCTACCCACTACACTGACCTAATACCCAAATAAATCCTTTGATTTCGAACCTAACAAGCCCCAAAAAAAGACAAGTTCTTTTACCTTCGGCGAGGGACGCTTGGCTCCGATGAAGCAACGGTGGTGGTCAAAAACCAGGGTAAGATTCTTACTCTATCTCTCTCCTTTTTTATTTTTTTCGAATGGATGTTTCCCTTTTTCTTTTTCTCTCTTCTTTTTTTTTTCTGTTTCGATTTTTTTTCTTCTATTTTTCGTTTAATGTTCTTTTATCTTTGCTTCCCTCTCGATTCCTGGTGAGATGATGATGATATCTATAGATAGGATTTGATTTCTCTGGTTGGGTGAATAAAATCCAGATTTTTCGGGATTTTAGGGTGCTATTTTAATGGGTTTTTTTTTTAGATTTGGGGTAAGTTTAGGCCACTGTTATTTGATTGGGTTACTGTTTTTACAGGAACCGGTCACTGTTCACGCAGGAGAGCAGTCGGCGGCGACGGGACACCTCGGCTTGGTGGCTCGGTGAAGATCAACGTGCGGCTGAGGGATTGGACTCTGGCTTGAGCGGCGGCTGTGTAGTTGGGGATTAGGGTTTGAAACCCTAAACTGATTTAGGGTTTGAAACCCTAAACTGATTTAGGGTTTGAAACCCTAAACTGATTTAGGGTTTGAAACCCTAAACTGATTTAGGGTTTGAAACCCTAATCTGGTGGGTTGTTGGGCTCCGGGATTGGGCCTTTGGGTTGTTGGGGTTGCTGGATCGGGTCATGTTCCAACTGGGTTATATTGCTGTTGGGTTGATGGCTGGTCTGTGATGTACTGGGCCTCAATAATTGGCCTGCAAAAATGTAACTTGTAATTTAATAATAAGAATAATAAAATAATAGTAATAATAATTATAATAATAATATAAACAAAATAAAAAAGACCCGGACAAAAACGGGTGTCTACAGCTGCCCCTCTTTGTACATTCTTGTGTTAACAAGAATAGGGCAAAGATGACAAG